ACTTTAGGGTTAGATTTCGCAACCACAAGTCTGCTATGGTCACTAAGAAAAAGACCTGTGAAGTAGCGGTACATTTTAACAAAACACCACATGATTTAAGCGATTTCTCATTCCAATGCATTGATCAAGTGCAGGCAACAGTAAACAATTCAGGTAACATCGAGAAACTTCTAATTACCAAAGAAGCATATTGGAGCGCACAGCTGTTCTCTCTGGCACCCTTCGGCTTGAATAAGCGCCAGGAATTTCACTCCAAAAAAAGAATAAACTATAATTAATGCGGAGAATTTTTTCAAATTGGGCGGGCATCAAAGGTCCCAGTCTCAGCGTTAATTGGGAATTTTAGTACAATTCTCGCCTTTCAAGTCAACGCTGGTTCCTTTTCATTTTCAGTGGATTCCACAATTTTTCTATTTCTTTTTATAGTGATAATTTTTCGCGTAGTAATTACTGTGTTTGTTTACATGTGTCATCACGCCCTATATAAATCTATTTAAGGAATTTTTAAGTCATTGTATTACAACTGATGAAGGTCTCGGACCGAAACGTTTTTATTAAAGAAACGGAAAATCCGCAGACCGCAATGAATATCAAAACCGAAATACCGAAGTTTTTTAGCGCAACAACCGAAAAACCGATCTTAAAAATAGCCAAAATCGCAAAACCGAAAATCCCAATGCCCCCCTCCTTATTGAATGTGGGTGAATCTGTAGAAAGGAAGCCTGAAAATAAATATTTGCAAAACCTTACACTTTGCAACTCCTGATAACTAAAACCTTTCTCAACCTCCCTCGGAGATTTCGATATTCCCGTTCTTTGTGGATGTTTGGTTATGTTAAGGAGGTCGTTCGTCGGTTCGGCTAATATCGGAAATTTTCCGATTAACACTTCGGCTTATCGGAACAACATAATCAAGTTACATTACCTATAGTGGTTTTTGTGGGTGTTGTAAAACGTAGGTTATACTTCAATTCCCGACAGCGGTGGTTTCGCTCGAGGTTCTCCAAATCAAGATGAACGGCTATCTTCTGTACATTTTGCCATTGCTCACCTTACCAAACAGTAAGTGAATTGCCGATTGAATTCGCATTGAATTCCTGCGATAGATAGTCTCGCAAATTGGGGTAAACCGTAAAGCCCAGAGTGTGGCAGTTTATAACAGGGTTTGCTAAACAGTTGGGAGTGTTTTAAGACTCAGATAGCAATGGACCTAAAAAAGATAGTTCAATGTCCAAAAAAGCGATTGTAAACAAAGTAATCAAAGGTGAATTTTTGCCGTGGTGCTGTTCAACGTTCGTCTGATAAAAGATGTGAACTGATGAACCTCACCGACTTCACGGGCGTTAAACTGGCACGAAGGAAATTTTTTCCCGAAAGGCTAACCTCTGTTGACTAGAAAGTTAGATTGCAGTTAATGCATGCAGTCCTTTCATTTTTCGTCTCTGCCTAGTCAAGGCTGCAGTGATATTTAGACAAGCGAATTCTAATTTACACAAGCGAATTTTAATTTACACAAGCGAATTTCGTCCCGACAGTAGATTCAATTCAATTTATGCCAGCCAGCGCCCTAATTACGTAGGCAGAGACCAACAGCGCACGTTTTTATAGGTTCTGACTGATCTTTAAATTTATTTCATTTAACTAGATTTATCTAACGTTTCCAGTAGCTATTCACGGAGTAATTATTCAGTTTTGTGCCCAATTATGTTTTTTCACTCTCTTAAATTCACACAGATGTGTCACGCGCATACCGTCTGCATGGGGTTGTTACATTTGAACGTGGAATGTTAATTTTTTAGCGAAAGCAGGGCCGAAAAAAAAGGGGAAAAAGTCAGTGTAAGCATTTTTTTTTTTTTCATTCAGTTATCTAGTCTCGTTCCTAGGGCCTTTTCCTTTTTCAGTTATCAAATCTTCTTCACGTTGAATACCGAAAAATAATCGAAATAGACGTGTAGCTGTCGCGCCATTATACGGTGAAGGATTTTGGTTAGATATTAACGTTATTAATATCTTTAATATTGCTGTTATTTCGGGCTGAATATCTTCTTGGAGCGCGAGAAGGTACAGCGGACAGCCAAATCGGAACTATATAATCACGAATATAAAAGAACATGGATTATACTGAAAATCGACTAAGCGGTCACTCCGTTCTTATGATATCATTGCTGTTGTCATAGAAGGCTTTTCCCTGCGCATCCATAAAAACATGGATATTCCTTGTTATCGGATTGAAAATGCATATTTTGAATTTAAATATGCCAAGTTTGGATGAAAATAGCTTGTATTAACCGATCCTCCCAAAATATTGATGATAGCATAAGTGCATCTAGTAGCAAATCGTCTTAAAAGATTGAGATAGCTAAGAATTTAAGTAATAACAATATGATCATCGCAAAAAACGAAACAATGTTGAATCTGTTCAAATCTCAATCCCTACGCTCTTTAAGTCTATTCACAAGAGCACATGGAGTGATTCATCCTCGGAGACCCAGGGGCAGTGAGTCGATTTCAAGTTAAGGGCAGAAGAGCCCCTGGGGACATTGTCTTACAAGACTAGTTCCAAACGGTCGCAGTCGTTCTGGCATCTGATTGGTGCCAGAAAATCTTTGTGTTTTTCTGCCCAATCAGAGGGAAGTGTCGTTTGGAGTCCTTTCGTGTGTTTTAACACGCACATATACAACAAGCTCTGTTGCTCGCTATGTTTGTCTCGGCCGTGCGACGAAGCTTTGCGCGAGGGGAAAAGTTTCAGTCTCAGCACACAATGTAAGAGAAATCGATCAGATTGTCTGCGAAATCTTACCGGAAATTATACTGAATATTTTCGCAGGTATCACAAGAGAACGAGTTTAAAAGTTTGCGAGGTTCGTTTTAAAACATAATAGTTGCAGGCATTGATATGTCGCATTAAACGTTAGATGAGATGTAAGCTTAAATATTTTTAGATTTTTTGTACAATTTGTTGTGACTGAAACTTTTCCAAGCCCGTGAAGTTATTTCGTCGCACGGGCCACGCAGGTATGTCAAGCAACTGGCGCTTACGCTTACGTAGCTTTCTGTGCGCGCCAAATTCTAATCGTTGCTTTGTAGTAAA